ATATATGTATATATCCAAAGGGAAATGGAGAAGAGTGTTTCCTTCGTAAGTTATGGATGTCGTCAGATTAAAATGCCGGGAGCAAGGGACTATTAACCCCTTTTGCATCAATTATTAAATATAAAACGAAGAAAACTTTGCACTTCTTGTGGTCACTCTGCTTGGTGGAAGATGGCAAATATCCAAACTGCGGGGATTTTTGCAACACAGTGAAGGAGTAAGTGATGGTGAAAGAGATTCTTCTTTTTCGGGGTTATCCTACCTATGTGGCGGACAGGAACTGGTCGGCAACCATGAAATCTCTCAGTCATAATCTCGGTCACTTCCCGCACTTTCAATCCAGAAGTCGAAGAGTCAGAAGAGTATATAATCTGAAATTGCTGGAAATTTTGGCCGTGTTTTAAAGTCGCATACTGGAATTCCTTTATAGAAATTCTGGATTTTTTGAAAAAGCTTTGAGCTTTGCCTTCTTTAATGAATTATAGTCACAAATAATCTCATGAGTTAAGATGACAAAGATATTTAAGGAACCAGAAAATAACATAGGTAATCTGGCAGCCCAGGTGTCAGCGGATCAGTCACAGAGGACAGAGGTATTTTTAAACCTTGTGATGTAAGAGGTTATATCTTCCCTCTGTGAAGGGAAGTTTAGTTAGGCCTCTGCAGACTCGAATGTTAATTTCTTAATTTAACTCAAGATACGTTCATTCTAACTCACTGTTAGAGGATGTGGGGGGGGGGGGGTCACAGCTGTTGAGCGACAACCCAACGACTAGTTCGACACAGTGTCCCCAGCCTTGAATAATCCGTCAAGATGATAGGAACGCAGGACCTTCACCACTGCAACGATGAGAGGTAGTTGCCTGGGGTTGGCTACACTTCAGATATGTAGATAAAAAGGTGACGTCCCAGAACTCATGTGAAGTTCGTCTCCTTCAGTAGTATATCTGTGTAAAGTAAAAGGACACAAGTGCAACTAATGTGACATTTATTGTAGCAACGTTTCGCTCTCCAGGAGCTTTATCAAGCCATTACAAACAATACATGGACACAGAGGGTATATAAAGGCTCAGAGTGAGGTGAATACTAGTGAGGTACCATTTCGATGTTCACTAGTGGTAGTAGTAGTAGTAGTAGTAGTGGTAGTGACAAAAGCAATTAATTCGTACATGAGTAAAAGGATATAAAAGCTATTACTTGGGTAACATAAAAATAGGTTGGACAAATATAAACTGGAATGAGGCAGGTTGTTTCAGTGTTCACTCTCTGTGCTTTGTGTAGTATAACAGGAGAGACTATGTGATGGCAGGGTTTACTGTTTTCAGGAGGATTCTTGCTAAGACTTCGGAGATGGTGAAGCTGCCGTTGTTTTGTTTAATTGTATTCGAAACAGCGATCAGTGCTGATTCAAGGCACTTGCGTGTGCGGAAATTAGTTTCTTTTATCACTAATTGGGCGTCTCTGAATTTCATAAGATGATTGGTGGAATTTCGGTGTTGTACACAGGCGTTGTTTAAGTTGTCGTTCCTACATGCGTATATGTGTTCATTGAGGCGGGTGTCGAGGTTTCTTGCTGTTTCACCTACGTAGATCTTGTCACAGCCTCCACAGGGTATAGTGTAAACTCCTGCATTGACTGGTTCGTAGTGCTTGGGTTTTGTCCTGGTTAGATCCTTTATTGAAGTGGTAGAAGCGATGGCGACTCTGGTGTTAGCTTGTGAAAGTACTTTTGAGACGTTTAGTGCAACCTGGCTGTTGGGAAGAATTATAACTTTGTTGGGAGCGGTGTTGATGCGTGGAGAATTGATGATCTGAAGAGCTCTTTTCTTGCAGTCTTTGATGAAAAAAGAAGGAAATTGTAACTCAGTGAATGTTTGGTGAATGTAAGTACATTCCTCGTCAAGAAACTCAGGACTACAAATTCGGTATGCTCTTAGGAAAAACCCGATGATGATGCCTCTTTTGGTCTTGGTATCTTGACTGGAATAGAAGTGTGTGAGATCATTTTTATTGGTGGGTTTCCGATAAACTTGAAATCTTAGGTTGTTGTCTACTTTGTGAATGAGGACGTCGAGGAAAGGTAGCTTGTCATTGGACTCTTCTTCTAGTGTAAACTGAATCGCTGGTTCAACTGCGTTGAGCCTTGCCTGAAGATCCCGTACATCAAAACGTTTTGGAGTTATTACGAGGACATCGTCCACGTAACGTAACCAAGTGACGCTTGAAGGAATGATGTTGGCGAAGTGTTCAGACTCTAGGTGTTCCATGTATAAGTTGGCTAGGACGGCACTTATTGGGGAGCGAAACGTTGCTACAATAAATGTCACATTAGTTGCACTTGTGTCCTTTTACTTTACATATTGTCGGTAATTCTACCAACTTTATTACAGTATATCTGTGGTTGTCAGATGACCCAAGCTGACATTCCAAGCTAGAAAGAGACAAAAGTTAACCACTGCTTGAGAAATCACTCTCCATGATAAGTAAAGCATTTAAAAGACTGGTGAGGATTTAAAAGCAAAACCTGGAAATCAAGGCAGAATGAACTAAGTCTTAGAATTGGTTAAAAGTGAAGCTTTTAACCAATATATCCACTAAAATAGGAGCAGAGGCTTTTACTTACAGTTGTGCTGGGAGCTGTGAGTCAAGTGATTATCCATTTGGATGGAGCCCCACACGTCACCTTTTCGGGTGGAGGAAAGGATGGGGGGATAGCCGGAGCTAGACACTGACCCTACCTTAACAAGCAGACTGGCAATCAAACTATCGTCACCATATACTCGCTCGCTACTCCTATCTGTTGAACTTTTCCCTCACACACACGATCACTCTCTCTCTCTCTCCCTCTCACGTTCCTTAGCTCTTCACGTTCTATCACTCTAGGCTGTTCTGCTCCTGTTTTCCTTTCTTTTCAATTCTTTCTCTTTCCGATTTTTCATCCCTTTCAATTCTTTCTTTCTCTCTTTTCTTTATTCTCCTTCTATTTTTCTCTCTCCTTGTTTTCTTCTCGATCAATCTTTTCTCTCTCCTTTTGTTCTTTTCTTTCAATTTATTTCGTTTCTTTCTTTCTTCCCTTTCAAGTTTATCTTTTCTCTCTTGGACCTTCGTAATTAAAGCTTCTAGTTTTTGTCCAGTAATTCCTAATTCATCCAAAATGTGTACACCTCCATTTTGAAAAAAGAAACACTAACCTGAAACAATGTCTGAAACATTGTATCAGACTATGGAACAGAACTCTTCTCCAGGATGAGGGACTGACAACCTCAAATCTACATCTTCAAGGGTGATTGATTGATTGATTACATCGTCTTCACATCTCTACTGCTCCTGCCTACTTTCTGTACTCGACTGAAGAAGACTACTGTGTAGGCGAAACGTTCCGGAATAAAGATGCCTAACTGTTGCCTATGTCTTACTTACCATACAAGTAACAGATAGATGGTAATCCGAAGTGCAGTTGGACGCTGCACATAGCTGTCAGATTCACGATGTTGACCATTGAAGTACGTGAAAGCCGAGGTAGGCGTAGTTGACCACGGTTTATGAAGTCCACCTTCACCGTCCGGTGGTAGAGACTCAGAGCCCAAACACGAAGGTGTAGGCACGGTTTCACTGTTAGTACAACGGGGAAAATGTCTGACCAGTAGCACGATGAAGGCGGCTGGAGGTGATGACAACTCATCTTAATTCTAAATGTGATACGACACATGTAGTATCCATTAGATGTGAAGTCAATTTAGTCCCTGATCTAGTGCTTAGATCAAGCTGCTCGGCTCGTCTCGCCTGTGTCGAATGACTCAAGTCGATCCACAAGGCTAAAAGACAAAATATAAACAAAATTAAAAACCCAGACAAGCAGTCACATGCTAGACATGTGACTGCTTGAGGACTAAGAAAAATTACTTTAAAATACGGAAGTCGAATCAAGTCCAGCTACATTAACAAAACCCCAACAACTATAGTATAAAAGAGTGGAATTCCATATTTGCAGACTTGGTGGGAGCAGAAAGTCAAGTGATATCAAACTCTCCAGGAGGGTACCTTGTAATTCCCACCGGGAAGAGTAACAAAGAAAGATCATTGGCCCAATGATATTACCACTACCTCCACCATTCATTCATGCTTCCACTCTTAACAAAGTAATTAGTCACTACAGCAACCATCCTGTGTTGTGACAATGAACTTCGACACATTGTCCGAGGAAAGGACACATGGGCAGGTATGACACAGGTTAATATAATCTCTGAAAGCATATGCAACTGTTTTGGCAGTTTTGTCAGAAATGGATACTAACTCACAGTACCGTGTGAAAGTAAGTGCATAAGAACATAAGAAGGAACACTGCAGCAGGCCTACTGGCCCATGCGAGACAGGATCAAGTCACCTACCGGCTTAAGCCACTGTCCCCAACTAGTTAGGTCCATGTCACAGCCACTTAAGGAAGGCGCACGGTATTAGACATATTAGCACAAGCTAGTCAGATCCAACTCACACCCACCCACGCCCAGTCACGTATTTATCTAACCTATTTTTAAAACTACACAACGTCTTAGCTTCTATGACGGTACTCGGGAGTTTGTTCCACTCATCCACTACTCTATTACCAAACCAGTGCTTTCTTATATCCATCCTAAATCTAAATTTGCTGCGAGTCCTATCATGGCTAGATATTTTTAGGAAGCTACTTACATTCCCTTTATTTATTCCCGTTTTCCATTTATACACCTCAATCATATCCCCCCTAATTCTACACCTTTCTAGAGAGTGCAGATTCGGGGCCCTCAGTCTATCCTCATAGGGAAGATTTCTGATATATGGGATCATCTTCGTCATCCTCCTTTGTACGTTTTCCAGAGTATTTATATCCATTCTGTAATACGGTGACCAGAACTGTGCAGCATAGTCTAAACGAGGCCTAACCAAGGATATATAGAGTTGAAGAACAACTTGAGGAATCCTATTATTTATGTTTCTTGATATTGTGAACGCTTATGCACCTGTCCTTTTCGCAATCAGTAATATTAAGATCTTCACTAATTGTCTACATGTGGCATTGTTATTTTCCTGTCCAACATTTAGAACTTTGCAATTATCTGTATTAAACTGCATCTGCTACCTCTCCGACCAATGTAACAGTCTATTCAAATCATCCTGGAGTGCTCTAATGTCCTCATTAGAATGAATTAGGCGGCCTGTTTTGGTGTCATCGGCAAAATTGCTTATGCCGCTATTTATTTCCTCATCTATGTCGTTTATATAAACTGTGAACGACAAAGGGCCCAACACTGACCCCTGAGGAACACCGCTTGTGACGTGCTCCCACTTTGTTGCCTGTTTATCAGCCACGCCTCTACCGAGGAAAAAAATTTCTCCTATTCTATGTACCTTAATTTTCCTCAATAGCCTCTGGTGTGGAACCCTATCAAAAGCCTTACTGAAGTTCATATATGAAATATATTCATTACCATGATCTTCCTCTTCAAATCCCTTAGTGAAAGAAGTTAGTAAATTTGTAAGGCAGGAACGCTCCTTTGTTACACCGTGCTGAGATTCATTAATCAATTTATGCCTTTCAAGATGGCTAAGACTTCCCACGGCAATTATTGATTCCATAAATTTTCCCACTATGGAGGTAAGGCTTATTGGTTCGAAGCTAAGGAGCCGTCTCCTGCTTTGTTATCGACCATTACTAGAAGGTATTTGTTACCTTTCTCCAAGGTCAAGAAATTCGTTAACAGGTCCATAGGTCTCTTCCACTTCTCCTTGGAACGTACCACTTATTCCTGTTCCTAAGAAGAATACAACATGGCATCCTGTAATCGACTACAGGAAACTAGATGCCTGCATAATTGCAGGCCACTTCCGATTGCCAGTTGTGAATGACCTATTACAGAACAATGGTAATATTTTTTTTCGACACTTGACTTTCTGCAAGGTTTTCGTTTCAACAGAGTCCTCTTGATGAATTCAGAAGTGACATCACTGTTTACACCATCTGGCCACTATCAATTCAAAAGCATGTCATTTGAGTTAAGGCTCTGCAGAATAACATTCAGTCATTTGATGATCTTTCGTACCCTTCATGATATGTCTTAGGACATGTCTTCTCATCATATAAATCTTGAGTGGGTATTTGTAAAAATTAGCTGACGTTGAACTCAAAGTCAAGCTCTCTAAACGTCAGTTTCTCAGAATGAGAGTTTTGGGTCATGTAGTAACTTAGGATGGCATGATTCCACACTCTCTGCCATTCACAAATACCCTAGACCTATGATGATAAATACATTTCGTTCCTTCATAGGTTTTATCCAAGATCTAGGATGTCAGGTACTGAACAGTTCCCTGGATCAAGTGCTCCTCACTGACATCAACAAACCTCCCATCAGATATCATGGATTTTCAAACTTCTGTTTAAGCATATACTTAAATAATAACTTACCGGCAGAGTTTACAAGTTCGACATTGCTTAATTATTTTTCCTTTGTGATTATGTTGATGTTATTTATAAAGTAAATAATTTATGCTTTGATATATAACAACATTAGCTTTTTAGATAAAAGATAACAGTAATTAAAATATGCTAAAACAGAGTAATTTTAACAGTAAATTACAATTTTAGTTTACTGTTTTATCATTTTTTATCACAGGTAAAACAAAAATTTATTTAATAAATTTGCATTCAATATCTGTGATTGTTGTATTGTTTCTGCTGTAGTAACAGAATACACTGATTTCAGCTGCGATGGCAGGACAGCGTCTGGGGGTTCAGTGTCCACTGATACATGCTTATTGATCCTCTCTTAAATGTTGAAGACAGTTGCTGGTATAAACCTTGGTAATAAATACCGACAAGTTGGTTTAGAAAGACACGTAAGCAAACACTATAACATATTTATTAGAAAACGTTTCGGTCCTGGGACCTTGATCACTTCTAACATGTTAGAAGTGATCAAGGTCCCAGGACCGAAACGTTTTCTAATAAATATGTTATAGTGTTTGCTTACGTGTCTTTCTAAACCAAGACAGTTGCTAAATGCTTTATCAGCTCGTTAAGTGTAGGGAAAAATCAGATGAGCTGCACTGCTCAGTGCTTCTTATAGAGAGATGGTACAACACAGCATCCTGGTTCATTGTTAAATAAATTAACTTGGACTTATGAAGAAGTGGTCCTTTAGAAATTGATACTGAAACAGATAAGCACTGACATCGGTGATTGACCTTTGTAATTAAAGCTCTAGTTTTTGCCAAGTAACTCCTAATTCATCCAAAATGTGTACACCTCTATCTTGACACAGATTTCTGTATCAAGATGGACAAGTACACAGACATGACTATGAACACAAACACAGGTACTGAATTCATGTCATCACTGATTCGTGCAAGTTAAAAGGTACTTATATGAACAGTGACACAAAATTACACTTGTAGATATATAATCAAACGCAGGAGTTTGTATGGACTCAGTCACTAGTTTACTTCTGAACACAAACATAGTTATGTGGAAATGTTTATAGAGACTAATAGAGGAGAATCATTGAATACAATTCAACGTTTTTTTTTCTTTTCATCCGCATCTGTGATGTGCCTACTATGCCCTGCTGCCCTGCTGCCCTGCTGTCCTGCTGCCTTGCTGCCCTGCTGCCCTGCTGCTCCTGCTGCTCCTGCTGCTCCTGCTGCCCTGCTGCCCTGCTGCCCTGCTGATCCTGCTGCCCTGCTGCTCCTGCTGCTGCCCTGCTGTCCTGCTCTCTGATGTGACTGCCACTACTGTACTTGTCCTGTCTGTGCAATGCTACTGCTGTACTACGTTCCTACTGAATCCCGCCCTTGATGTACGCCGCCACTGTTGTACTTACTCTCAGAGGCAGGCTCAAGCGACCGTCCCTGTTCCCCAGAATACATTGGATCTCAGGCCTTCAGTGAACCAGAGACCAGAACTCTACGAGACATCCTGCTGCGAGACTATAATCGTACACAAGTCAGTGGGAGAGAGAGAGAGAGAGAGAGAGAGAGAGAGAGAGAGAGAGAGAGAGAGAGAGAGAGAGAGAGAGAGAGCGAGAGCGAGAGCGAGAGCGAGAGAGAGAGAGAGAGAGAGAGAGAGAGAGAGAGAGAGAGAGAGAGAGAGAGAGAGAGAGAGAGATAGAGAGAGAGAGAGAGAGAGAGAGAGAGAGAGAGAGAGAGAGAGAGAGAGAGAGAGAGAGAGAGAGAGAGAGAGAGAGAGAACAGTTGACGTCCCGGCATTATTGCCCGTTGTTGAGACATTGTTGGACGACAGGACTCCGGAAATTTTTGCTAGACTACGCCTCATGGATGAGCAGAAACAGGCAATAACAAGGTGATGCTCTGTGCTTCTCTAAAAGTGTACATGCCCAGCCCATTAATGTTGCCCTCTCTACTCACTTAGAAATGATGTTCGTCAAGCTATGCATAAACACTACTACCTCTATATTAGCAAGTGCAATATACAGACCTCAGTAGCAACATGCAAACTCCCATCAACTTCCTGATAGTAAATGGTGACCTCATCCAACATCTTATACAGAGGGACTCGGATGACCTTCTTGCAGTGTTTGACATGAAAAACTGTTGATTTCCTTACTCACATCTCTGGCTCTTCCCTAGACCCAGCAGTGAGTCATCTGTCGGAAATAATAGCCACTTGCCAGCCCCCTTGGCTATGTTGGATCAGCTGACCACAAGGCTGTCCTTACGACATTGAAGATTCCAACCGAACGAGGTGAAGAAGCTACACCCACAACCTAGCTGTGGGAAAGAGGAAACTGGCCAGCACTATGCTCTGAGCTCGCCACCTCCGATTGGAACACTCAAGTGAATGTCTTCACTGGATACATCCTTAATCTACAACAAGAAAATTCCTCACCGGCAGTGTATGACGAAGCCTACAGATCAGACATGGTTCGACTTTCGTTGTAGAGAGGCTGCTTCTACTAAGTACAAGGTTTGGCGAAGGTATAAGAGACGTCCCACTACCTGTAACAGGAACCTGCCCTGGCGAGTCTGTAGGCATATGGATGGAGTTCAAAAGTGTGTCATTTCTAAATGGGAGGCTGACATAAAAAGAAAACTGGCATCACTTAGAGTGGGTTCCAAAATCTGGTGATCCCTGGTCAAGGACAGACAAGGTTTTTTTCCTGATAAACTTATTCCACCTCTAAATCGACAGGATAGGACCATCTCTGCTAGTAGTCAGGAGAACGCTGATCTCTGCCTAACACTTTGCTGCAAAGAACCAGCAAAGAACCCTCCTTAGCTATCTGCAAGATCTGTGTCAAAGCTGTTAGTGGTGACAATAAACAGAGGAGGTGTATCCTCTTCTTAAACCCCTGGACCAAGAAAAGGCTGTGGGGCCAAACAAGTTGAGCCTAAGATTGTTGAGTAGATGTGCAGACCAGCTAGCAGCACCTCTAACTCGCGTCTATTAGCACTGCCTAGCACAGTGTAAATGGCCTTTTCTGTGGAAAGAGGCAAATGTAGATCCTGCTCACAAAAAGATGAGCAGAGAGGAAATCAGCATCTACCGACCAGTGTCACTCCAGAGCAAGACGCCTCATCTCTCGCCTGGACCCAACCTGGATAGATCTGTCATTTCACCAGAGCCTTGAACACCGGAGGGATGTGTACAAGGCCAAAGTCGTCAAAGTATCAGCAACTCACATTTACCAGCAATGCCTAGCACAGTATAAATGGCTTTCTCTGTGGAAAGAAGCAAATAAAGTCCCTACTCAAAGAAGAACAGAGCGGAATTCAGCAACTACCGACCAGTGTCCCTCCTGTCAACCACTAACAAAATTCTTGATACAACAATCTTACGGTAGATGACAGTATTTCTCGACTACCACTTGCTTCTTTGTGACCGTCAATATGGCTTTTGAAAAGGTCACTCTGTTGATGATCTGCCGTTAAATCTCTCCATTGGGTGAATCCAAAGTCAGGTGTGTTGTAGCCCTAGACATTGCTGGAGCTATCGCCTGAGTTTGGCACCAGGAATTCTTGGCAAAACTGCAAGCACTTGTAATCACGGGCTCTATACTATGCCTTTTCAGTGATTACAATCAATTATAGTAATAATAATAATAGGGAACGAATGGATTTGATAGTTAAAAATAGGAGATTAGACTTATTAAATGGAGTTAGAGTATTGGGAAGGTGGAGGGAATATTTTGAGGAATTGTTAAAAGGGGGATGAAGATAGGGAAGCTGTGATTTCGTATATAGGGGAAGGAGGAATAACATCTTGTAGGAGTGAGGAAGAGCCAGTTGTGAGTGTGGGGGAAGTTCGTGAGGCAGTGGGTAGAATGAAAGTGGGGTAATGCAGCTGGGATTAATGAGATAATGATAGAAATGTTAAGAGTAGGTGGGGGATATAGTTTTGGAGTGGTTGGAGCTATTATTTAATAAATATATGGAAGAGGGTAAGATACCTAGGGATTACCAGAGAGCGTGCATAGTTCCTTTGTATAAAGGCAAAGGGGACAAAGGAGAGTGCAAAAATTATAGAGGAATAAGTCTGTTGAGTATACCTGGTAAAGTGTATGTTAGAGTTTTTATTGAAAGAATTAAGAGTAAGACGGAGAGTAAGATAGCAGATGAACAAGGAGGCTTTAGGAAAGGTAAGGAGTGTGTTGACCAAGTGTTTACAAGGAAACATATAGGTGAATAGTATTTAGATAAGGCTAAAGAGGTTTTTGTGGTATTTATGGATTTGGAAAAGGCGTATGACAGGGTGGATACGGGAGCAATGTGGAATATGTTGCAGGTGTATGGAATAAGAGGTAGGTTACTGAAAGCAGCGAAGAGTTTTTACGAGGATAGTGAGGCTCAGGTTAGAGTATGTAGGAGAGAGGGAGATTATTTCCCAGTAAAAGTAGGCCTTAGACAAGGATGTGTAATGTCACCGAGGTTGTTCAGTATATTTATAGATAGGGTTGTAAAAGAAGTGAATGCGCGTGTCTTGGCAAAAGGTGTGGGGTTAAAAGATAAAGAATCTAACACAAAGTGGGAGTTGTCACAGTTGCTCTTTGCTGATGACACTGTGCTTTTGGGAGATTCTAAAGAGAAATTGCAGAAGGTGGTGGATGAGTTTGATAGGGTATGTAAAAGAATATAATTAAAAGTGAATATAGGAAAGAGTATGGTGATGAGGATAACAAAAAAATAGGTGATGAAAGACTGGATATCAGATTGGAGGGAGAGAGTATGGAGGAGGTGAATGTATTCAGATATCTGGGAGTGGACGTGTCATCAGTTGGTTCTATGAAAGATGAGGTGAATCATAGAATTGATGAGTGGAAAAAGGTGAGTTGTGCACTTAGGAGTCTGTGGAGACAAAGAACTTTATCCATGGAAGCAAAGAGGGGAATGTATAAGTGTATAGTTATACCAACACTCTTATATGGGTGTGAAGCATGGGTGGTGAATGTTGCAACAAGGAGAAGGCTGGAGGCAGTGATGTCATGTGTGAGGGCAATGTGTGGTGTGAATATAATGCATAGAATTCGAAGTTCCGCACCTTAGAAGGTGCGGGATCACTGTAACTATTATGCAGAGGGCTGAGGAGGGGTTGTTGAGGTGGTTCGGACATGTAGAGAGAATGGAACAAAACAGAATGACTTCGAGAGTGTATAAGTTTGTAGTGGAGGGAAGGCGGGAAAGGGGTCGGCCTAGGAAAGTTTGGAAGGAGGAAGTAAAGAGGTTTAGTGTGCGAGGGGCTTGGACTTCCAGCAAGCATGCGTGAGTGTATTTGATAAGAGTAAATGGACGTGCTGCTGGAGTTTGCGCAAAGTAACATTCATGAAAGGATTCAGGGAAACCGGCAGGCCACACTTGAGTCCTGGAGATGGGAAGCACAGTGCCGGCACTCTGAAGGAGGGGTGTTAATGTTGCAGTTTTGTAACTGTAGTTTAATAAAGCTTCTGGCAAGACAGTGATGGAGTGAATGATGGTGAAAGTTTTTCTTTTTCTGGCCACCCTGCCTTGGTGGGAATGGCCGATGTGTTAAAAAAGTAAATATAATAATAATAATAATAATAATAATAATAATAGTAATAATAATAATAATAATAATAATAATAATAATAATAATAATAATATAATAATAATAATAATAATAATAATAATAATAATAATAATAATAATAATAATAATAATTATAATATCTTTATTTCTTTAAGTACATGTACAAGGTATTCAGGCCTAGCTGACATCCATGACAAACTACTTATTATAACAAACTACTTGTTATGCTGAGCATTTCGGGCAAATTAGGTCACTTTTGTCCCAGGATGCGACCCACACCAGTCAACTAACACCCAGGTACCCATTTTACTGAAGGGGAACATAGACAACCGATTTAAGGAAACACGCCCAATGTTTCTACCCTCGCCGGGAAATGATCCCTGACACTCGCTAAGCGTAGTTCTCAACGGGATAGTCTGCAAGACACTTTGTTGGAGAAAGCGTGAAACAGGGAGTGTGCTTGGCCATTGCTATGAAATTCTACTTCAATGACCGTCATGTTATCCCAGAATTCCAAGTATATGCAGATGACTGTACTCTTGACCTTTACTTATCCAAGAGAGGAAATGCTAGCTGTTGTAAGTAACATCAATCACCAGCTTACAGCTATATCAGTCTGGGGAAAACGATAGCAGGTCACATTTGCTCCTGAGAAAACACAAATGATGGTCTATAGGCACCATGATGGTAATGCTGGAATAGAAGTAAGAATGAATGGGAGAGTGCTGGTACCTGGGGACGAGGCTAATATCCTTGGGGTGAAATTTGACTCCAGACTGACAATGAAGAACCACATTGTATGTTTTACAAACAAAGCAGCAAGGAAGCTTACAACACTTCGACGAATGTCGAAGTGTTGTAAGCTCACACCTTGAGTTTACTCCACTTTCTTGGATAGCTTGTCCTCCGTCTCATCTGCGACTTTTTTGACAGAATAGAGAACAGAGCAAGACGGCTCATCTCTCGCCTGGACCCAGCCTAAAGAGATCTGTTATTTCAGCGGAGCATTCAGTACAGGAGGGAAGTGGGCAGCCTTACTGTTATGTACAAGGTCAATATTTTTAAGGTACCACACTTGGCTTCACTCCGAGAACAGTGAGAAGTGAGCTTCTAGACAACAAGACGGGCAACAAAGAGGAACTACACTCAGACTGTACTCTTCTCCAGAATATCACAAATAACAAATAACCCGCACATAGTAGAAAGGAGCTTACGACGACGTTTCGGCCTGACTTAGACCGAAATGTCGTTGTAAGCTCCTCTTTCCTATGTGCGGGATATTTGAGTATTGTTCCAGTCACGGTATTGTATTTTTTTTTTTTTGTCTTTATCGAGAAAAGTCAGTTGGCCAAATAAAACCGCTAGCCCACAGATGGCTCCAGTCAGATGGCTCCAGTCAGATGGCTCCAGTCAGATGGCTCCAGTCAGATGGCTCCAGTCAGATGGCTCCAGTCAGATGGCTCCAGTCAGATGGCTCCAGTCAGATGGCTACAGTCAGATGGCTCCAGTCATCTGTATATATCTTAACAACAAAAAGGCTTTCAAATGATCTGATATAGGTAGCAGGTTTTAGCTTGTAAATAAAATTAGGAAGGCTAGACATAACTTTGTAAATCCCTGTGTAAAAGCAATAAAGGAGAGAGAGAGACAGAAAGAGAGAGAGAGAGAGAGAGAGAGAGAGAGAGAGAGAGAGAGAGAGAGAGAGAGAGAGAGAGAGAGAGAGAGAGAGAGAGAGAGAGAGAGAGAGAGAGAGTAAACAACATTTGGCAGTCACGTGCGTCTCAGGCAATATTCTCAGAACTATGCTCACCCAAAGGACTTTTAGGAAGATTTGCATCCTGTGTTCCTAAGCCTGTACTGTTTATGTGTGTAGATTTTGCTTTACTCATGGGAGTAACACCTAAGTTGTGCTTCTATTCTCATAGTATTGGTGGAACAAACATCAACGCTGTTGATGTAATAACCATGATGATCCAAGAACTATCTTCAAAACAAGCAGCTTTACTGGCCAGCGTTGTCAGGTAACTTAACCATCGTAGGTCAGTGATTCAAACTGGCAGCCAGAAAGCCCTTCCAGTTACGGTGGATATGTAAACTGCTGGCACTCGTAGAGACTGAAGGGTTGGAATAACCACTTCCAAAGACACTTACAGGAGTCTGACATCTACTTCGATCCCTCACGACTTATACTTACCAAGGCAATTTCTGATTGACTAGAAAAACACGAGATTCCCAGAAACACATCAGCATGTTACTCAGCGGGTTGTAGAGAAATGAGGAAAAAATATGAAGTCAATATAGGCAAAAAAAAAAGAGAAAAATTAAATAGCCAAACACAAAAAAAAAAACAAGTGTCTCGAGGAGGATAAGACACCGAGAGTCAGGAGTAGGAGACTCACATTGTTTACCCTACTCACTGACGTAGTTCATACCTTGGTCATTAAGCTGCGCTGATACTCGCATTACTCTCCCAGTAGGGAGACAACTAGACTAACAACCTCTCACTGTCATTCACTGCTACACAAGGTAAACATACCCACACTACCTTTTCATCACAGGGTCATTTGACATTTGATGTACAAAAGCCTTTAACAAAATAGCTAATGAATGAATGATGATCTGTGTTTCCTTTATAAGTCACTCAGTCTTGGTGAGAACCAGCCGAAGTAGTTAAAAAATCATCTTTATGTCTAATATTATTTATGTTGTGGGAGATAATAAGGGAGAAGACAGCGAGTGAAAAAAGCGAGTGAGTCAGAGAGCGATTAATGAATAGAGAAAGAGTAGGAATGTGAGCAGGTTAGGGATGGACCGAGTGAATGAGTGAAAGAGTGGGAGAAGAAGTCTACACAGAACTAACTAGGCTTTGTTTTTCAGGCGTTCGTCAGCATCCACTCATACGGACAAGCCATCCTCCACCCCTGGAGCTACACCACCACCGCCACCAGAAGCAATGCTGGTAGACTGGTGAGTGATCTCCAGGTTCTGTACCTCGTGATGGTGGCTCTGGTAGACTGGTGATTGATCTCCAGGTTTTGTGCCTCGTGATGGTGGCTCTGGTAGACTGGTGATTGATCTCCAGGTTTTGTGCCTTGTGATGGTGGCTCTGGTAGACTGGTGAGTGATCTCCAGGTGCTGTACCTCGTGATGGTGGCTCTGGTAGACTGGTGATTGATCTCCAGGTTTTGTGCCTTGTGATGGTGGCTCTGGTAGACTGGTGAGTGATCTCCAGGTGCTGTACATTATGATGGTGGCTCTGGTAGACTGGTGATTGATCTCCAGGTTTTGTGCCTCGTGATGGTGGCTCTGGTAGACTGGTGAGTGATCTCCAGGTGCTGTACATAAGGATGGTGGCTCTGGTGCACTGGTGAGGTGAGGTGAGTTTCTGACCAAAGCTTTGGTAAGATGGGAGAGGAAGAAGGATGGGTATGGATGGAATGTTGGAAAGGTTTGTGAGGGTGGTGGGGTAGGTAGGGTTTTAAAGGTAAGTGGCCTATCCACTTTGGTGCAATTTAAATACGCGTGTGTGTTGTGTAATTTGTAGAAAAGCTGAATTCATGAGAGAGGTATACCTCCTGCCCTTCAATTTGCATACCGGTGTGCCACTGAATTGAAAGGATGTACTGTTTGCAATTGCCTTTTTTTTGCGCAAGAGGTCGGTCGTAAGGCTGCGACTGCAGGTGGTAGTTGCAGGTTGTCTGATGGAGGTTGGTTGCATTCCTGGGGTTGGTTGGCTAAGCACTTCCAGGGGCGGTGTCCTGCTGTAGGATGGTTGTAGATGATATAAGGTTAGTTGTAAGGTGTTATTATTATTATTAAAGATTCACGGATATTCTCCCGGCCCAGGCCTTTTCCAAGTGGTGGCTCGGCCTTGGCTGCCTGTCTACGGAGTGTCTGAGACCTAAGTCTCCCATGGGAGGAGGCACAAATACCCCCTCATCTTTGGGACCAACTGTCCCCAGTCCTAGCCACATTCGCCGCCCTCACGGGGCTCGTAGGGAGAAGCTAGGCCTCTCTGGTCTGCCATCCCCGCCCCAAGGGGGCTAATGGGAATGAAGTCTTGTGAACTACAAGCTCGGGCTCAGGCACCTACCCTGCCCTAGAAGGGCTGGGCATGGTGTCGATGCTTGGCGCGGTGAAGCAGCCATGGAAATCCCAATCCATGAAAAAAAAAGAAAAGTTAGCTGTAAGATGTTGATTGACAGAAGTGGGTCACCCAAGATTGGGGAGCGTTAACCTATGTTACTGGATGTAGAATGGTTCTGGTGTCGAACCAGGTAAGAATCAGGAATAATGGATTTAAGTTGGATAAATTTAGATTTAGAAAGGACATAGGTAAGTACTGGTTTTCTAACAGAGTTGTAGATGCGTGGAACAGTCTTCCCAGTAGGGTGATAGAGGCTAGGACCTTGGGTAGCTTTAAGAAGAGACTGGACAAATATATGAGTGGGAGGGGCTGGGTTTGACTGGTGTCAAGGGGTACAGGAGTTATTTCTTGAGTAGCTTTAGGTAGATGTCGTTTTGATAAGGACCTGCCTCGTATGGGCCAGTAGGCCTTCTGCAGTGTTCCTACATTCTTATGTTCTTATGTTCTTATGTTCTAATTCTTCAGGGAGGTCACTCAGGATTCTTGGTCGAGGGAAGTTCTCCTTGTGGATGAAGCGCCGGACTCTTTGTTGGAGGGTCATTCTATGTGATCTGTAGGGGATGGGGTGTTGATGGTGTAGTTGGTCGTGTTCGTTGGTTGGGGGGTTCTCTCTGTCAGGTACATAGAGTTCCTGCGTGCCATATAGTTGTCTCTTCTTTAGTTTGTCAAGCCTGACATTAATTGCAATGATTCTCTGTTGTATGTGCAGGTCTTCAGTCCTGATTCTGTCTCTGAATCTGGTGCCGGTGATGAAGCGGAGGGCTTTGTTTTGGACTCTTTGGAGTTTTAGCATGTTGGTTTTAGTTGTTAATGACATGGGTATGCAAGGGTATTCTAGCAGAGGTCTGATCATCTTGTACAGGTGTTTCTTGATGTGGGAAGGGGTTGCGTTGAATCGGAAAAGTTGACCGAGGTGGGTTTTTGCTAGGTTCACTTTTGTGGTTATGTGGGATGTGGAGTTGAATAATGTGTCGATCTCATACCCCAGGATCTTGTTTGGATTTCTGATGGCGATTCGTGTACCTCTGATGGAAATGTCCCTTTTATCTTCTATGGTTGATGCTAAGCAACCGATGGTGCCGATGAGGACTTTATCTGGGTTGGTTGTGATTCTCCATTTTTTCTTCCGCATGGCTGTTCTCCGCAGTTCTTCATTCATTTTCTCTATTGCTCTCCTATGTTTGTTTGAGCCAGAGATGGGGGTTGAAGAGATTACATGGATGACATCGTCTGCAAATTGGGTGATGATGGTATCGTTATGTTCAGGTTGGGGGAGGTCGTTAACATATATGTTGAAGAGTATAGGGCTGAGGCAAGAGCCTTGTGGTACTCCAGCTGTCGGCAGGAAGAGCGTTGCTGCCGTACCGTGGAAGGTGGGAATGATACTTCTACCTGTTTAGAAGTTGTATATGAGTCTGAGAAAGGTCCAGTTGTGATCTGGGAGGTCTGCAAGTTTGAAGATGAGTCCATCGTGCCACAGGCTGTCGAAGACCTTGTGTACATCCCTAGTTGCGATCAGGGCCAGGTTTCTTTGCTTCCTCATACTGGCCACGGCATCAAAGATGATATTTATCGCATGTTCTGTGCTGCGGTAGGATCTGAAGCCGAACTGCTTTTCGGTGAAAAAGTGGTTGAATTCCATGTAGTAGTTCAGTCTGTTTGAGATTATTTTCTCGAAGACTTTGCCCGTGACTTCGAGTAAGGAGATGGGCCTGTAGTTTTCTGGATTTCAGTTGTCTTTGTTGGGTTTTGCGATGAAAATCATCTTCGCCGTCCTAAATGTCCCTGGGAAGTATCCCGATGCCAAGACGGCATTGAAGACATTCACCAGCGGCATCTTTCAGTTAGGGGGAAGGTACTTTAGCTGTTTTGCTGTTAAGCCTGAAGGGCCAGGTGATGACTTGGGACACTGGTGAGTGATCTCTAGGTGTTGTACATTTTGATGGTGACTCTGGTACACTGGTGAATGATCTCCAGGTCCTGTACATAATGATGGTGACTCTGGTACACTGGTGAGTGACCTTCAGGTGTACATTATGATGGTGGCTCTGGTAGTCTGCTGGGTGATCTCCAGGTGTTGTACATTACGTGGGTGATCTGGTACACTGGTGAGTGATCTTCAGGTGTTGTATATTATAATGGTGACCCTGGTAGACTGGCGAGTGATCTCTAGGTGCTGTACGTTATGATGGTGGCTCTGGTAGAATGGCGAGTGATCTCTAGGTGCTGTAAGTTATGATGGTGGCTCTGGTAGACTGGGGAGTGATCTCCAGGTGTTGTACATTATGATGGTGGCTCTGGTACACTGGTGAATGATCTCCAGGTGTTGTACGTTACGATGGTGGCTCTGGTACACTGGTGAGTGATCTCCAGGTGTTGTACATTATGATGGTTTCTCTAGTTTCTTCCATGACGATCTGTCTTGTTCCCACCGTGATGGTCAGTCTAATTCTCACTATGACGATAAGTGTAGTTCCCACCTTGACGTACAGTTTAGTTCCCACCATGATGATCAGTGTAGTTCCCACCTTGACGTTCAGTTTAGTTCCCACTATGACGATCAGTGTAGTTCCTACCTTGACGTTCAGTCTAGTTCCCACTATGACGATCAGTGTAGTTCTCACCTTGACATTCAGTCTAGTTCCCACTATGACTATCATTGTAGTTCCCACATTGACGATCTGTCTAGTTCCCACCTTGACGTTCAGTTTAGTTTCCACTATGATGATCAGTGTAGTTCCCACCTTGACGTTCAGTTTAGTTCCCACTATGACGATCAGTGTAATTCCCACCTTGACGGTCAGTCTAGTTCCCACTTTGACGATCAGTGTAGTTCCCACCTTGACATTCAGTCTAGTTCCCACTATGACTATCATTGTAGTTCCCACCTTGACGATCAGTCTAGTTCCCACCTTGACGATCAGTCTAGTTCCCACCTGACGGTCAGTCTAGTTCCCACCGTGAGGATCAGTCTAGTTCCCACCTTGACGATCAGTCTAGTTCCCACCTTGACGATCAGTCTAGTTCCCACCTTGACGATCAGTCTAGTTCCCACCTTGAAAAACAGTCTAATTCCCACCTTGACGGTCAGTCTAGTTCCCACCTTGACGATCAGTCTAGTTCCCACCTTGACGATCAGTCTAGTTCCCACCTTGACGATCAGTCTAGTTCCCACCTTGACGATCAGTCTAGTTCCCACCTTGACGATCAGTCTAGTTCCCACCTTGACGATCAGTCTAGTTCCCACCTTGACGGTCAGTCTAGTTCCCACCTTGACGATCAGTCTAGTTCCCACCTTGACGATCAGTCTAGTTCCCACCTTGACGATCAGTATAGTTCCCACCTTGACGATCAGTGTAGTTCCCCCGTTGACGGTCAGTCTAGTTCCCACCTTGACGGTCAGTCTAGTTCCCACCGTGACGATCAGTCTATTTCCCACCTTGACGATCAGTCTAGTTCCCACCTTGACAATCAGTCTAGTTCCCACCTTGACGATCAGTCTAGTTTCCACCTTGACGATCAGTCTAGTTCCCACCTTGACGATCAGTCTAGTTCCCACCTTGACGGTCAGTCTAGTTCCCGCCTTGACGATCAGTTAGTTCCCCCTTGACGATCAGTCTAGTTCCCACCTTGAAGATCAGTATAGTTCCCACCTTGACGATCAGTGTAGTTCCCACCTTGACGATCAATCTAGTTCCCACCTTGACGGTCAGTCTAGTTCCCACCGTGACGATCAGTCTAGTTCCCACCTTGACGATCAGTCTAGTTCCCACCTTGACGAACAGTCTAGTTCCCACCTTGACGATCAGTCTAGTTCCCA